CATTCGGCCTTACCAATAAACAACCAAAACATCAAAGAGAATGTCAATTGCGTGCAGTGTTACAAACTTGCAGCTCTTTCATGATGTACACACCCTAACCAACCAGGCATAGACCTGCACTACAACCATTCATGCCCAAAAAAGTGTAGCAGTACTCCCTCCGTTCCCCTAAGATATTTTCATTTTGATTTTTTGTGAGTTTTAAGGAGAGTTAAAAAAAAAAGGTGAAAGTTTATCAAAAAAAATCCTTAATGAAAATGGGTGGAGTATAAAAAATGAGGTGGATGAAGTGTAACAAATAAAGTAGGGGTAGTTGTGGTATTTTTAATGTTAAAAAGACTAACGAGAAAATCTATGAGAGACAAATATAAAAAGGTTAATGGTAGATCTATGAGAAATAGAGGGAATAGTATTTACAACCTTATTGAGTAAACAAACAACTTTCTGACAATTCACCAAAAAAAAATCAACCATTTTAGACAAAACTGTAGCTTCACTACTACATCTTCTAAAGGGCAGACTAGTGAACCACATGGATGTGTAGGCAAACCTTACCTCACATTTTTTTTACAAGAGGTCCAAGACTTGAACCGCGAGACCCTAACCTCACACAGAAGTACTTTATCAGGTGTGCCATGATTTTTTCTTCAAAAACACAATTGTAGACAGTTTCTATATTGACAATACGGTGCCGACCCAACAAACATAACTCTAATGTGTTGTAAGCATACATACATGTATAGACAGAAGTCAGTGCATCTTGCTTGTGTCTGGAAGAAATGACAAGGCTGCAATTCTGCATCCACACAATCAATAAAAATTAGAATGCCAATCAATTATCAAGTGACTGCAATCGGTCGTGTTTTTTACTTGATCCAGAGCTGCATATCTATGTTTCAATAAAACAACAGATTTAGTTTCTTCCAGCTTCTGCAGCCCATTGCTTTTTCCTTTACGTGGCAGTTTCTTGGAAAGTTGTTTCCATCTTGATTCAAAAGTACAAGCTGCAAATAGAAAGAGGTAGGAATGTAAATCTACTATCTCATATTGTAGAGTAAAAACATATGGTATGTTTGTGAAACAATTTTGCCATTAATGTGCATAAATATTACTCTAATTCAGCACTTGTTCCATAGTTAAAAGTGACGAAGAAAGGGGCTGGTCAGGGAACCTAAAATGGCCTTCAACCAAAAACTCAACCCTTTCTCCCTCTTAAAACCCAAACTCTCTCAAAGGTTTAAAAACACAACAATAGTATCTTACTTGCAGACACCAATTGGAGTTTTGGACATGTGGATGTGGGTTTAACAACAAAAACATCAAATTTCAGCAACATTTTCTTCTCTACTGTTTTTAACTTGTCTAATTTAATGTTTTTATTCATTTCCTTTCTTGAATTTACTTGTGTTTGCATTAATATGAGTAGCTAGACTTTAAGTAGTCTTAAAAGTGATAGTTGACTTTGTTGGACTACATGAGCCCAAGTACCCTTTTTTGGTATAAAAATATTTTATTGATAAGTTTTGATGAATGACAAACCACCACAAAGATTTTCTCTTGGCTCAAAAACTATTATTTTGTTTCAAAAAGATTTTTTATTTACGTTAATAATGTGTTTCTGATTTTTAAACATTCTTCCGTAAACCAAAACACACTTTTTTATTGCAGGAATGAATTTTCTAAGGCATTTTTCGCACTTAAGAAGCCGGAACATTGCACTCTTGCAAATTTTGTGTTCTTGGCAGAATTGCCTAGACAATCGGTTGTCGCCATTTTGGACAATCAATTGTTACTACAATGGATTGCCTCAATCAAGCAATTTAGCTCTTGAAGAGGGAATACAAGCAGTTGTAAATGATAGGTAGTGGAATCTCGAGCAAATCACTCGGGACTAGACTAGCAACAAGTTGTGGTGAACCAACATGATGAATATCTAGTGTTCTTCCTTGCCACTTTTATTCACGCATTTTGCGCTTTTTAATTCTACAAAAATTTATCAACATTTTCATACAAAACTATTCATCACCCTCGCTCTAGTATTGGCCATTTATTTTAACAGACTTAATTTGTGATGTAATGTAGGATTTTGTAATTAAGGGGTTTTGGGCCTAACCTAAAACTTAGTTGTATGTGTGGTGTTCAACACTAAAATTAAGGAGTAGAAATAGAGAATGTATCCCTTTCATACATTAGGAAGAACTATGGCAGGAGAATAGAAAACTTGAGCCTTAGATAGTAGCGTTTGACCATTTTGTGGGTGTGGTTGGAGGAAAAGGAAAATATTCCCTCCCCTTGTCTAGTTCAAAACTTTTATTAATGTGAGATTAAGAAACTTTCTCATCCTTCTTCTCCCATCCAATATTTGGGTCCCACATTTAAAAAATGTTTTAAACAAAAATAGGAGAAGGTATAATTTTCCCTTCCCTCCCCTCCCCTCCAAGGTTCCAGCCAAACGTAACTTAAGAATTTAAGGCAGGTTAAGCTCCACTCTACAAAAAGATGCCCTACGAACAAATACCTTCACTTCTGTCTTTAAATCCTCCAATAAGGCATGCACATATCCATGGCCTTCCAGAACGAGATGCTTTTGCACCTCCTTTAAGATCACCGTTATGTTGCTTCAAACTATAAAATGCAAAACAAATATGTATGAAATTAAAGTGACCATGAGTACACAATGATCAAAATATACTCCCGTAAGTTGTAGCAAGAAATGTGAAGCAAACACATAAGTTGATGCAACCTTCAATTGGTTTTTTTCAATTGCTACTTCCTTTTTAAATACTCCATGACACTATCTATAGGGGTGTCGACCTATGGAACCCCAGGTCTTAATATGCTACCAAGCCCACCTTGGCACATGCTCCATCCCGTTATTTTTGGGACATGGGGTAGTGGCACGCAAATTAAGGAAATGAAACCATCTCGTTGATAATGATGTTAGACACTAAGAAAAAGTAAAAATAAATGTAATCCACACTAACGATGATAAATGTACTATGAGATAAAATAATAAAGGTACAGGGGGGCTAAAAATAACAGGAGAAAGGGATTAACAATGATTTAGTGCCAGAGTCAGGTAAGGAGGAGGTGGTGGAGAAGGAAGAAGAAGGCGTTGAGCACGGGGAGACTCAATCCACATCTCCTTACATTCTAGGACCATTGCAAGACCAAAATGATGGCGAGTCTTCTCAAACCGTAACAGATGTTCAAAGCCTGAAAGAGGACATACTCCTTCAAAAAGATATTTAGATTCTTATTACATTCTGCAAAGTAAAGATGGAAAACGAGAGAGCTTTCAAGAGTTGTGCAGAGACATAGATAGAATTGGTCACAAAAACAAGAGCTGTGCGTAGACATAGCCAAGATTGTTGTAAGATGACACATTCTTCAGATGTGGCTAGAGGGGGAGAATCATTGAATATGTTCAACCAACCATTGTTGAAGTCTCTGGATTTAGAAGCTGAAGATGTCATGCAAGACATCATGAGGTGAGGTCATGCATGACCTTAACGGCGGTAGGACAGAAGGTGAGAGGAAACTTCACATTTTCTTGCTATAAATAGGGAGCTCCTATATCCGGTACTATCATCCCAAATTTGCAGAGAATTTTTTTGTAAAATAAATTTCCAGGGGAAGAATTAATCCCTATTGAGTGAATTGAATTATTTTTGAGAAGTTTATGTAATTTCTATTTCTTGTAGAAGTGGAGTTTCACTCAAATTTGTGTCTTTAATCATTATTCAAATATTCAATCTTGAGTAATTTAACCCAACAATCTAGAGGGTTGTCGACCTATGGAACCCAAGTCTTAATATGCTACCAAGCGTTACAATGGTTCCTTGGGCCTTTGTGCATAACATATATTCATCCTTATCACTGTTACCTCAACCCATTCGGTGCTTCTTAATCGGAAAGTAGCAACGGGTGTTTGATACTGAAAGGCAACCTCCAGTTATTTGATCACAAAACCCGTTTTCTGGTTTTCTGTTTTAAAAAGTACCCGGCGGACACCCATAACTTTACCACCCCTCAGTCTTCACCAGATTCAATTCCAACAAAATTATTTAAAACTTCCATCAAAATTCAACTTGTTTTAACGCATTTGAGGAAACAAATAGGAAGAGTGACACTTCCCAGTTCTGCATAAGAACATTCAGGGAGGAAAAAACACAAAATCATTTCGAAAGCTTCCATTTTCACATCTTAACAACCCTAAAACTACAAATCTTTATATATAACAGAAAACCAAGATGAGATTACCGGCGGGTGAAATTGGTGGTGACTCCTACGTAGGTTTTGATAGGCGGATTGGTAGACAAGATCAAGTACACCGACCACGGCGAGTTTGATTTTGATGCGGAGGTCGACGGAGAGGGAGGAGACTGGGATGATTTGATCGGTAAGGAATTTGAAGGTGCCGATGAAGGAGAAGCTTTCAGTTTGGGAAGAGAACGATTGGGCTTCAATGATCTGAAGGCATCTGATACGAATAATTGCTTCGCCATTGACCCATCCCCCAAGCTATTTCCCTCTCTGTTCCGACGAATGACGAAAAGGTTCATAATAAGCCAGTAGCCAATTGCCCAGTAATTTCTTCATTTCCAGTCTCCTTCACCCGTCACTGAGATTCATGAAAGTGAAACATGACTGAGATTGAATGTTTTGAAATGAAAGATATTCCTTATGATATCAATTCTCATTATTTATTTATTTATTTATTTATTCTTTCACTGTCAAATTTTAATTATTTTCATTACATAATAATGATACTTATTTAATAAAATAATACTTGTAATGTTATCATTTAGTTTATAGAATTTTAGATAAGTTAAATTTATAAATTTTATTTTTAATAAAATTTACATCAATTTTCATATAAAATGAATTAAAAATAATTGTAGTCAAACATGAAATGAAATTAGGGTGTTTGAGCATATTTGAAACAATGAAATGAAAAACTTATTGGATAGTAGATGATAGTGGGTGATCTGTGGTGACAATAGTTGGTTATCCGTGGTTAACGAATTTTGAGAAGGTGTGGCTGAAAGGTGGTGGTTGGAGGATCTATGAGAACTCTAGATAAATACGGGGTTACGGACAGAACCTCTTGTGGTACTTTGGTGAAACCAAAAAGATTGGATTTGATACCAATAACTAAATTTTCCTAAATGTTAGTGTCTTGATATCTCCTGGTTTTAGAGACATCAAATCAAGATTTTGATATCTTCATGATTTCCTTGAACGCCTGCCGCCACCATTGGCAACCCATCCCCGCTGATGACCAATTTCCAAACACCCGACGACCTTCATCGTCCAGTCATTTCAAAATTATTTAAACACTTTCATTTTATATTCTAGATTTCAAAATAATTTTTAGCCACCCATCACTGCCTATCCATAATAAAAATCTTCTATATCGATGGCAACGGGTGACCGAACAAGGTGTGGTCGACAACAATTGACCAGGAGTGGTGGGTGACAATGATTGGTGGTCAACAATGATGGGAGCTAGCATCCTAACACGATGGGGGCTAGCAGTAATGGAGGACAGCAACAGAGATGTTTAGCAGGGGATAACGATCTAGTCAGAAATTCTAAGTGGTCGCATTGGTTGCCGATGATTGAGGAAGATATCAAATCTCTAAATTGATCTTTGCCAGATTAGAGAGATATAAAAACATCTTCACCTAATTGGATTGTGATATTTGAAGATATCAAATAACAATCCATGTTTTGGCCTCATCGCACACAAAAACTCTCGCTCACCCAACAATCATTTAAGTACTTCAATTCATTTTAAAGTCAACAACAACAATCAAATGGAATACAATAATTATGGACTCGAGAAGGTAAATCATTTAACAGGCATTTTAAATAAAAAGAAAAAAAAATCCTTCCATTAACAAGTCCCAAGGGTCACTCACCAACCAAGCAAAAATAAAACTCTACCACTCACTATATAACTCATGCTTGAGATCAGCCAGACCCAAAGGTGCTCCCCTATCACCTAAACCCCACCAATCCAGTCCACTCCAGTGAAAAACTGGTGGGACTTCCTTCAACAATTTTTGTCTTTACAACAACCCATTAGAGTTCTTGATATAATCCCCATTTTAAAAAACATCAACAATGTCCATTGCCCATCACTCTCATTTCAGCTTCAAATGGTTCTACGAATTGCAGCAGGATATGGTTTCGGGTTCAGGCGTCTTCCTCTTTCTGCACGAAGCATCCGGTGGTCTGCTTAGCAAAAACAAGAAGAAGATGATGAATGAGTCACTGCAAAAGAGTGAAATAAGTTTGAGTGTTTGAGCAAATGTCTCACCCCAGCTGCAAAGTGGTATCAGAAACCTCATTCAGCAAATCACCATTGTTGTGACTCTCAGCGCCATCTTTCCCAGAGGAAGAACAAGTTCTTTGTGTGGTGGGATAATACTCAAGATACTGGGTGGCTGAGGCTGGTTTACTCATCACGCTTTTAAGCTCCTCATCTTTTCTTCTAAGCTCTTCTAGCTGTACATGTTTCGCCGTTCAAGAAGAAGAAAATCACATTAAAAAAATGTAAAATCTTGAGCAAGCTATGGCCAAAACCAGATGATTCTAAGAGAAATACTTGTCTTGCCTGTCTGCGCAAATCTTCGTTCTCCTGCCGGGTTCGCTCCTCCTGGTTAGCAATATCAAATGTGTAAGATGATGTCAAATGGAATCGCTGTTTCATTACTAATTATTCATTGAGCTCACAATGTGATGCCTGTGTTTCAATATGCATCTTTCCATAGAAAGCGCTTGGTAAAGGGTATTTGATTAAAATGACTCAAACATCTGAACTTATCAATGAAAAGTGTTTGTTAAAATCCATTTATTTTGCTCATTCAGTTTAATCAGTTAGCACAGAAAAATGAGGCAAAGAAGCAAGAACTGGACGCCAAACGAGCCCTTAGGCTTTGTTTTGAAGTTTCAGCTAGAAGGGCATCATTGAATCAAGCAGCAATTCTACTTGGCAAGTATTACCTGTTTTTTTGATTGCTCCAATTGTTCCGTCAGCAATTGCTCCTGAAATATATTTTAAAGTGTACAACTAATAATCATATTTATTACTCCCTATGAGATCTTAGAAAGTACGGAGTAATATTCAAATTTACCCATTACCTTAGAGATTAGCTCAATGAAACAAGAGAAAGCCACAATTGAAGACAAAAGGCCTTGTTAGGGAAACAAGGTTTTAGCTAAACGCTGTTATTAGATAGCCTTTTTCAAAATGCTAACCTCTAAGGTTGTTGCCAAACGGGGCCCGAAAATAATCACTAGCAAAACAAACCTTTCTTCCCTTTATAGCAAAGAGTGCTGCATCTAGTTTGTGCTCAAGCTGTCGTAATTCGTTCAAGCCCATGCCAGTGAGGTCCTTACCCAACAACTGCCTAAAATAGGATCCAACTTCAGTAAATACTAATTGGACTGTTTTGAATTTTACAGAAAACTAACATAAATAAATTGACTCAAAAAATATAAATTTCGTTAAAAGTTTTGATTTTTTTTAAAATTTTTTAAACGTTTTTAATGAGCATTATATGAACGTTACAAGACATACAACTGCTTTGATTTAAGCTCGGAGATTTCGTTGTTCAAAACTTCCAATTCCTTTTGCTCCACCTGCTCATTTTTATAACCAGAAACTCAAGTCAGTTGTCAAACAGTGAATAAAAAATGTTCAAAAGGTCAAAATTTTGCACTTCAGCTAGCAAGCTTCTTAGTATTGGCACTTAGAATTAACAAGTAAAACAGTAGAGTAGTAGACAGTAAAAATCTGCAAAACTCTTACAAATTTTTAGCAGAAAAAACAAACAATTTATGGTTAATTAACCTAGGAGTCATAAGTACTGAACTCGAGGATAAAAAATTATTATGATATGTGGTAAACTGTGGTGATTTTTTATGCTAAGATTCATTTAAATAGACTTTGCTCATCCAATTTGCTTACCAGAAAACATTATAAATGAGAATCCCCTGTATATGACTCCTTCCTTCTCAATGTTCTCATAATTAAGAGCTTGTTCTCTTCAACTTATGACTTATTATTTATGCTTATTGGAATCAGGTCAGAACCAATCAGATTAGGTGAAGGGAACAAGCCCTAAGTTCTCAATTTGGAAAGCCAAAAATATTGGTGTTGGTCATAGTGGGAACTTCATTATGGGTAGGATGCAGTATTGCACATACTAACATGTAAATATATGTGTATATATAATGCTTATTTATGGAGTACATCTTTCACCTTTGGCTTCTTCTCTACAACAACGGGCGCCTCGGAAGAAAGTAGACACTTATTGTACCTTGACAGAGTATGCTTCATGCTGCATATAGACACAATGCATAAGTTGAAATATAATGTTCATAATGGATCCAGGATGACTCTGCATTCCATAGCTCTTTTTATGTTTAAAAAAAGTCAATGATTCATTGTGGAGTTGCAGGGATGAATGAGTAATTTATGGATTTATATTTCTCAATTTCAGTCATGAACACACTAAAGACACAGTTAAGATGTCATTAAAGGTCATTGAGTAACAATTAAGGATCACTTTTTGTTGTTTTGTTTTAGTTTTTGTTTTCATGTTACACTGTTAAGGTGACTTCTCTAGATAAGCAAAACATATGCTTCCAAAGTCAGCCAATTACAAATGAAGGACCATTTGCGTGAAGATCATGATGCCCCTACAATGTCATCAAATTAAGAACAATACAGAACATCCAAAACCACGTAGAGACAAATAAATTGATCTTATCTCTTCAAGAATTCAAATTTACCCTGTGGGAGTAATTAGTAAAGAAATTGCAATGCAAACCAAGAACAATACAAAAAGTTAACACCTTTCATAGAAGAAGCAAGAGTAATTATCATCTAACTATCTAAAATTCACCCACTCAATCACTCAAATTGATGCAGGGATTGGTCCCAACTCCCAAGCAAACTCTGGGTAAAAACCAGAGGGTAAGCATTACTCCAGGAAGCAAAAATCAGAACTGAGAATCAAGAAACCTTTAAAGAGAACAAAACTTCATCTCGGATGTAAAATACCCAAAAAAAAATCGAATCTTTTACCCAAAAAAACCAACCGGACTTAAAATATAAAGAAATATGGCACACCCATCACAAATCCTTCCGAAAAATTCAACCTTTTGAGCAAAAAGAAACAAATCTAAAGAAGGGAGAGCAAACAGATGGGGGAACAGACAGAGAGACCTTGTGCTGGAGTACTCAAAGAGCTTATCAGTGGCTGAGAAGATGATGACGGCCACCTCTGCATCGCAGAGAATGGAGAGCTCCTGGGCCTTCTTCAGAAGCCCAGATCGCCTCTTGGAGAAAGTCACTTGCCTGTTATTCACATTCTCAATCAATTTTATGTCAATCTTTCCTCTCCCCATCTTTCTTTCTTCCTTTCTCTTTCCCCCCCTTTTTAGGGTCTGAAATCTAGAAACCAACCAACAAAATTCCAAAATCTATATTTGCAGATTCAAGGGTTTTTTTTTTGACCGGCGGAGGAGGGCGGCTGCGGCTGGGGCGGCGGCGGTGTTATTTGAGGAATATGAAGAGATGAGGAGAATGGGAAGGGCAAGAATGGGTTGCTAAATATAGAGA